ATGGATTTGAGTTGTTTAATTTGAAATTTTACAAAGAAGATGATTTGGGTAATTTTAATTTTTACCCGTATTCTAAAACTAGCACCGTGTATTTACATTATAAGTAACTATCCTTCATGCACGCGCGTATAAATAAAATATAAATTAAAACATGTTAAAGACGATTGTTTTCAAAAATGATATTTACTCACATAAAACTAATTACATTATCGTTAGCAGTCGTTGTACATGAGTCTTGTCATACAGTTGTACGACGCACCTCTATTACAGAATGTGTCATCGATATTATCCACATTGTGTCTAAAAAAATATTATTATTACCTTCATGACTAAAAGACAATGAAAACATCCAATTATTTTACGTACCGAATCCAGTTATATCATGTTGTTTAATTATGATTGCGGTTTTTGTTTAAAAATAGAGGAATGTTTGTTTTTTTTTCTAAGTGTTTATTTACTTATATAATGACATATGATTAGGGATGGGCAATGATTATGGTGGGCGGATAACCGTGGTTATTTATCCATAATCGTTTATTCTCATACCCGTATAACCGTTTACCCGTTAGGTAATTGCCTAAATGGTTATACACATACTCATAACCGTTTATAAACGGTTAACCATACTCATAACCTTGTACCCATTTAACCGTAACCGTTTACGAATTTATCATTTTTTAACCTTTTTATCCTTTCTTTTTTACTATTTACTCATTTTTCACCCGTCTACGTGTTTTTTTAATAACTTGAAAACTTTAAAAAAAAAATTTGTCATAATTTTCTTTTTCTAACAATTAAACACCGTTATAGGTATATTCATCATACATTTCCGCATTTTAATTTTTCAAGTCCTTATACCATTCAAATAATTAAAATAATAGTTTATTGATGATATTTTTAATTGTTAACAATGAAGGTAATATAAAATTTGCTAAGTATTATTGGGTTACAAAAATTATTAAAAGACAGTATTATTGGGTTATTTAACTCAGAATGTAAGGTGTTAACATAATATATATATATATATATAATGGACCATGAAATTTAAAGTGGTTAAGGAAAACTATATTGTATTAGCTACAAAAATCATGCATTATAGTCAATAACATTGATCTAAGTTTTGTGCGATAGGGAATATGGTTTGTATTAATTTTACATATATAAAATAAATGAGTAAACGGTTACCCGTTTATAACCGCGGTTAATACTCATAACCACCCATTTAAATTTTGTGAGTAAATGATTATACCTATAACCGTTTATTTATCTAAACGGTTATCTATAACCGTAACCGTAAAATTTAAATGGACGGATAACTGCTGTTACCTATAACCTATAGATATTTGTCCATTCATACATATGACGTATATGTTAATGTCTGTAAACTAAAAAAATCTCACATGACAGTGGATAAGATCGGTCAAATAAACCGGGTAGAATTGTAACTAGAGGTGGCGCATACTAAGGACTGCGTTTGTCGCGCGTGCATGGGTTGAAACTTGAAAATGAAATGTTGATGGGGCTGCTGATGACGTTTCAGGTTTCTATTTTGGATTTTGTCTTTGTGTTTAAGATGCTCGCCGGCTTTTTGTGGCGGAATTGATGGATTCGGATATTTGAAGGAATTTTAACGAAAAATATCCGGTACTGTTTACTTTAACGAAAAATCATATTTTTATACTAAAAAGTCAATCCTAGTACTATTCACTTTACCCTTTATTTTGTCCTTATTATTAAAACTCAAAGTTTTCAAACCATTTTCATTAGTTTTCCTATATTTGAAACGTTCGACACAAAGATATTTAGAATGTTTATAAATTTGGGATATTTGAAACGTTCAAGAACAAGATATTTGAGATATTTGAGATATTTGAGATATTCAAGAGAGAGATATTTAAGATATTCAAGAGAGAGATATTTGAGATGTTTGAGATATTTGAGATATTTGAAACATTCAAGAGAGAGATATTTAGAATGTTTATAAATTTGGGATATTTGAAACGTTTAAGAGCAAGATATTTGAGATATTTGAGATATTTGAGACATTTGAGATATTAAAGAGAGAGATATTTGAGATATTTGAAACATTCAAGAGAGAGATATTTAGGATGTTTAAAAATTTAGTGCTCCAAAATTTTAAGTCAGTGATCAGGAAGTCTCGACTCTTTATTATAAAAAAATTTTATTCATAAGAATCATAACTGAACGCCACTATAGCAATATAACAACCCAATCAAGCATGATATCACGAGATACATGTACCATGAGGTGTAGCTTTTACATGAAACATTACTTGATCGGTTTGAAAAACCGCCACAATAACGTATGAGTTAATAGTAAAGTTCTCCTATCTCACCTCAACCTCAAGTCATGAATTTCAGCAAGCTTTAATAATAATCAAATTAAAAAATATGTTGGAAAGAATTAGGGTAAGAACGCAAAAGAGGTGAAGCTCTTTCTTTTATCTTTATCAACATGAGAGCATGTAAAGATTGTTCGTTAACAAAGCCATAGCTAATTTCTCACTAATCCCCAAGTCCCAACCACTTAACTAGCTAATTAGCTAATTAACCTTTTAACTACTTCATCTTTGCCATTACAAAATCAACATTGCCTTCTATGTGAGGCAGTTAATTAATAACTTCCTCCTTCTTCCCTTTATTTTTCATCCTCTGATCAAATGGAAGATCAAGAAAGTAACATTTTGTTAGCCTTTTCTTCCCAAGATGGTGTTTTCATGGTGGTCTGCAGGGTTTTGTCATGGATAATCATCCACAGATGGAGCCAGAGGCACAAAAAGGGCCCCAAAACATGGCCTCTCGTGGGAGCGGCGATCGAACAGTTCACCGACTACGACAGGATGCACGATTGGCTCGTCAAGTACCTCTCGGAGTCAAACTCCGTCGTCGTCCCAATGCCATTCACAACTTACACTTACATTGCAGATCCTGCAAATGTAGAACATGTCCTAAAGACCAACTTTGCAAACTACCCTAAGGTGATTTTTTTTTCCGGCGGTGTTACTAAGCGCGTTAATTTGGTGCTTGTTTTTGTTTAATTTTGCGTTGATCTTTGGCGTGTTTTGTTAATTGAAGGGTGAAGTGTACCGTTCGTACATGGAGGTCCTGCTCGGAGATGGGATCTTCAATGTGGACGGAGAGCTTTGGAGGAAACAGAGAAAGACTGCGAGCTTTGAATTTGCATCGAAGAATTTGAGGGATTTCAGCACTGTGGTCTTCAGAGATTACAGCCTCAAGCTCCATTCGATTCTGAGCCGAGCGTCTTTCCAAGGCCAACAAATCGATATGCAGGTGGAAACACATTCGTTATGGCATCCACATTGTCTGCCGTCTTGATCAAGACGGTTTTACTTCGTTGGATATTCATGAATATCCGATGAACCAACTTTTTCCCTGGCATGGAGCTTGAATATGTTTTCTTTGTGCAGGAACTGCTGATGAGGATGACTTTGGACTCCATATGCAAGGTGGGATTTGGTGTGGAAATTGGAACTCTGGCTCCCAATCTGCCGGACAACCACTTCACCAAGGCCTTTGACACTGCAAACATCATCGTGACGCTTCGATTCATCGATCCGCTGTGGAGAATAAAGAGATATTTGAATGTGGGATCAGAAGCCTTGCTTGACAAGAGCATTCAAACCATTGATAACTTTACATATTCTGTTATTCAAAGAAGGAAAGCAGAGATCAAAGAATCTCAGCAGAGTTCCGAAAACAAGGTAACACGAAACATAAATTTTTTGCAGTACGACGGAAACAGATTCATAATCTGAAACGTAACCTAATTTTGTGATCAGATGAAGCACGACTTAGGTATTGTTTGGTACGTAGACGGGACGGGACAGGACGGAATGGAGAGGGAGCAAAGATGCCCTCGGATGGAAACAAGGAGGAAAAAGAAGGAGACGGAAATGTTATAATTTTGTGTTCCACGGATGTGGAACGAGTCGTTCCAGAGGGTGAAGCGGAATGAAAATTCACCCAAAATTCATCCCGTGGAACAGCGCGTTCCACCTGTTTTAGGCGCAACAAACGTGGGACGGAACGCCTCGACCCATTCCGTTCTGTCCCGTCCCACCTACCAAACGGTACCTTACTGTCGAGATTCATCAAGTTAGATGAAGATTCGGAAAGCAATTTAACGGACAAAAGCCTCAGAGACGTTGTTCTCAACGTCGTAATAGCTGGCCGGGACACAACGGCAACTACTCTCTCATGGGCCATATACATGGCAATGACTCATCCCCATGTAGCTGATAAGCTCTATTCCGAGATGAAAACTTTTGAAGAAGATCAAGCAAGAGAAGAGAAGGTTTTGTTGCTCCCGTATGACACGAAGGACCTCGACTCCTTTAATCGAAGAGTCGCACAATTTGCAGGACTGCTGAGTTACGACTTGCTGGGGAAACTGTATTATTTGCCTGCCGTTATTACAGAGACGCTTCGTCTGTACCCTGCAGTCCCCCTAAGTAATCTATATGGCGCCAGGATCCTAAAGGCATTTTGGAGGATGATGTTCTACCGGATGGAACCAAAGTCAAAGCAGGAGGAATGGTGACTTAGGTTCCCTACTCAATGGGAAGAATGGAGTACAATTGGGGACCTGATGCTGCCTCGTTTAAGCCTGAGAGATGGATGGAGGAGGGTTTCTTCCAAAATGCATCGCCGTTCAAGTTCACCACATTTCAGGGTAGATAACTGAGCAATCTTAACCGTATACATCCACAAAATTTAAAGGTCATTAACACAGAAACTCGATTACCTCGGATTTACAGGCAGGACCAAGAATATGCCTAGGAAAGGACTCTGCTTACCTCCAAATGAAGATGACACTGGCCATTCTGTGCAGATTTTACACATTCACTTTGGTCCATGGGCATCCAGTTCAGTACCGGATGATGACAATTCTGTCAATGGTGCACGGCTTGAAGCTTACTGTAGCCAGGCGCTAATCATCTGTGTCAAAGATAATTAAAAGCAGATTAAGTGTCTACTAATATATATCAAACCTTTTTAAACAGGCAAGAGCCAAAAGAGATAACTTTTTGGATACATATAGCTTTGCATGTCCTTCTCAAAAGCTCATGTGCTATATTTATTTCAAGGCTTCCAAGTCACATGTTTACAGATAAAAGCTTTGGTACTGCTTTTAACCACACCCAGATATTACAGTAAAAGTAAATCCAGTTACAGATTAGGAGATCAGTTTCTTCTTATTCTCTTGCCATTCACTGATTTCAGCATCAATCTTTGCTTGAACAATTGCTTGAAACCCGGGGTACGGTTCGTACCCGAAGAAGATCTGCAGAGCCTGAAGCAGCAAGAGAACACACAAATTATGATTGCCAAATCAGGAAATTACCTCAGAAGTTAAAAATCCATCAAAAAATTACCTCTAACAGAACAAAGAAGGGAGCCATGATAAAGGCTTGTGCAAGATTGTCCAACAAAGCTGGTGCCCTTTTCTGCAGATTACATCACGTTTCAAGAGTATAAATACAACAAGAAAGATATGAAGTCACAAATATAATTAGGTAAAAAAATAAAGATTTAACACCTCAAAGACTCCATGGCCGATAAATTGTCCAGTCCAACACACTATCTGAGCCACCAGAACAACCTGAAAAATGGGTTTACTGAGGTCAAATTTATAGCTAAAAAGTAAAGAAGCAATCAATTTACTGAAGTTTAAACAAAAATCTGAAAAAATAATATATATACATATATATATATATATATATATATATATAATTTGACATAATAAACGAAGCCCAGAACAGATTTCTTGATAAAAAGTTAAAAACTAAGAATAACTGCAGAAATTACTGAACTTTAAACAAAAATCTGAAAAAATAATCAAAACCCAGATTTTTTTCACAAAAATTAATAGCAACTCCAGACGTACCTTCCAAGAGATGGAAAATCCGAGTAGGGTTCCAAGGAAACAGCTACCAACCCAGCAAAGTACGCAGAGCAGAGCACCCAAGGAGCCAGCTTTTGCGTCCAAACAGATGTAAAACGCCGAATAGATTATAGTCAACAGCAGGCCGACGTTGAAAGGCAGAGCGACGTCGTTACCAAACACCGAAACCCCAAAACTGAGCAGCGAGGGCGTGAAGTAAAGGATGAGCAGAGCGGTGAAGAGGATAGGCCAGACGAAGAGCATATGAATCGCTATGTTGACCGGGTTGCTGTGGTAAGCTCCATAGAAAGCAAAGTGCTTTTCGAGATCAAACAGTCCGGTCTTCCCCATTTGAGAATTTTCCGAGAAAATTAGGATCCTCTGTTGCGATTTTTCTCGATAAATTTTTTATGGGTGAAGGGTGATGGCGATTTCTTTGGCTCGTTGAGAAGAAAAGTAAGATGCTTTTCTGTGCGCAACCGACTAACAACTGAAAGCTCACCGCCAACTTAATAAATTCGCTTCTGGTTAGCTTTGTTCACGAAGAAACCTTTGAATTTGTCAAACACGGTCGCTAGAGGGCTCCATTTTCCAGTCAAAACGCACGGAAAAGCCAAAATAATTTCAAGGTTTTGGGTTTTTTGTTCACCATAAGTGTACAGAGAATTGGGCGTTTGCAACAGAAAAGGGTTTGGGCTTTTTATATTGTTAGCTAAAACTGACCCAACAGTTACATCGATGCTTTGTGTTACGGATTATGAGTTAGTTTGGTATTGCTGTGTTTTTAAAAAAAATTATTTTTGCTATGCTGTAAGAATAAACAGTTGTAAGAAGCAATGTTTGAGTGTTTGGTAAAAATTGCTTTGAATATGTTAAATGACTAAACAAAATATAGTATTTAATGTGATATAATAATTATCAAAGACAATAATATGGGGTAAAGATTGTAATTTTGTTAAACATGTTGGGGTATACTTGCCATTTGAAGATTTCATTAAAAAAAAACACTTTTTTAGAAGCATGATAGACTCTGCTTCTGCTTTTCTATGTTTTTCTACTTTCATTGACAACATTTAAAAAAAAAAAAAAAAAATTTTATTTTACCAAACACATTTAATGTTCCATATTTTTTAATAGGAGTGTGCTATCCACACACCCCTTGATAATTTATGTCCGTTGATCTTCTTCAATTCATCCGATCTGACAGCCGAAAATTAAAAAGGTGTGTGAGAAGTAAAATGGGGTGTGTGAATATCACACCCCTTTTAATAAACTGTTTTTTTTCTTCTGAAAACACCACAATCCCAAACCAACCATATGTCATCTACTCATAGTATGATAGTAATGTGAATAAATGACTCAACATAGTAGTGTGACTGTTACACTTGGAAAATTTTGAAATGTGATTTTCGCTCTAATTTTCTATCAATGCTCCTCCCCCTGAGCTTAGAGATTGAATGATCAAAAGAGAAGAAGAGATAAAAGTAAGAAGAGAGTGCATAATTAAAAAGCAAAAGTGTAAAAGTCACTACTTAAAATTTTCTTCTAATTTTGACCGATTACCAAGAAGTTTTAAAATATAAATGATCGTGTCACCTTAATACTTCAACCTACACACAAATACATCTCACCATCCTTTGCATTATGGCCCCGACCCTCTCCAAATTTTTGGCCGCAAGTTTTAACCAAACAACCACGTGGTCCGACCACCGGACCAAATAATTTCTCCTCTGTCACTAATAAAACAGAGAAGAGATGGGCACGGTAGTAAGGAATGAGAGAGTGAAAATCACCGTCCAAAGATTTCTCCAAACCTTTTTTTATTAAATAAATTTCGCAAGATAATGAAGGCCACGTGGTGGCAAGCAGGTAAGGTCCATGTCGGATTAACGGGCAACACGGTCAGCCACAAAAACCTGCCCAAGGAATCCACATCGACAACAATCCTCATCAGCCCATCACCACCATACACATTCATGAAAAATTCGAACTTGTTCATATTTTCCCCAAAGCCATGAGCAGCTTCACTAACACCACCACAACCTTCCTCCAATCCCACATCGTCGCCAACCCCCAAAATTTCCGTCACAAAGTCTCACTTCCCGGTAATCAGAGCCTCATTTCCAGGAGAAGACGATCAAGAAAATAACGCTGCGAGTCGAAGAAAAATGGTGACAACTGATCGTGTAAAAGTCACTACTTAAATTTGATGTGTATTACCTAGCATTCGTGTCGTGTTTTCCGTGTTCGTGTCGTTTTCGTGTCATATCCGATGTTTTAACGGGTTGTGTCGTGTAACATCCGTTAAAATAAATGGGTAAAATGACCCGACTTAAAATCGACCCGATAATATTAATAGGTAATTTGACCCGACCTCTTACCCGTTAAGGAAAATATATTTTAAACCAATAAATAATCAAATGAAAAACATAATACTAAATAAGTATATACATACTATATTGTTACATCCAAAACATAAAAACGCATTTTTCTTTTAAGTATATTTTCACTTACCTAAAGTCTTTAATAGTTTTTTAATTAATGTAGAAATGTAAAAAATATAAAAATAATATATAAATGTTCGTAATGACAAGCTTTACAACTTTCATGAAAAGCTTAACTTCAAAATTCGCTACTATAATCATATAAATCATAGATCAAAATTTAACCGTTGATTGTTGTTTACATTTATGCTTCATTGTTCTCATCAAATTTTGAACGGTTTGGATCGTTGATATTATATTCAGAGTTTTACGGTTAGTGAAAATATTGCTTGATTTTATAAAGTTTCTACAAACTATATGACATTGACTTATATTTCAGTTAACCGTAAATATCGAAACGTGATATCAAAGATTTGAACCATTCATTTTCTTACATTTGCCAGATGATCATGTTTTCAAAAAAGAAAATTTTAAAAATGAAATTCAGTAAGAAGAATAAAGCGTAAATGACAATTGACGGTTAAATATAAATTTAAGGTTTATGAATTATAGTGTTGAATTTCAAAGCTGACCTCTTCATGAAAGTTGTAAAGTTTGTCACTATGAGTGATTGTATATTTTTTTTACATTTTTTACACTTCTACAATAATTATTATTAATTTTGCCCTCAAATAAAAAAACATTATTCACGAAGGTTTGGAGGATTTTAAAAATCTAAACGATAATGCAAGTGTAACCATTATCTAATCGTGGAGGAATAATGATGAATCACGAGTGTTTATATATTCTTTCACATTTTTCATTTGTGTATGTATGTCTTTTTAGTTATTGCCTATACAAATACTATATTAGTTCATTTTAATTTTGAACAACAACATGTTAAGTAAAATTTATTATAGTAATGATAATAAGAAACTCTCATAATAAAAATAAATAATGACAAAAACTTTTTTTTTTAAACTTATATAGAATAATAATACAAAACTATATATTCAATATAGAATATTTTGTATATATTAATATGGCTATTGTATTTTATAATAAATCTTTTAGTAATTAAACTTTAAAATTATCAAAATAATTTTTTTCTTAATGAGTTGAAACGGGTTATTCACGTGTTACCTGCGTGTATACCCATTAAGAACCCGTTATTAACGGGTCACCCGATAATGATCCGATAAGTTATCGTGTTGATCTAAAACCCGTTATTTTCGTGTCGTGTCAGAAACTGCCAGGTTACGCATATATAGTGTAAAAGTCACTACTTAAATTTTTCTTCTAATTTTGACCGATTACCAAGAAATTTTAAAATATAACTGATCGTGTCACCTTAATGCTTCAACCTACACACAAATACATCTCACCATCCTTTGCATTACGGCCCGAGCCTCTCCAAATTTTTGGTCGTGTGTTTTAACCAAACAACCACGTGGTCTGACCACCGGACCAAAGAACTTCTCCTCTTTTATTAATAAAACAAAGAAGAGACGAGTGTGGTAGTAGGGAATGAGAGAGTGAAAACCACCGTATAAAGATTTCTCCAAACCTTTTCTTATTAAATAAATTTCGCAAGATAATGAAGGCCACGTGGCGGCAAGCAGGTAAGGTCCATGTCGGATTAACGGGCAACACGGTCAGCCACAAAAACCTGCCCAAGGAATCCACATCGACAACAATCCTCATCAGCCCATCACCACCATACACATTCATGAGAAAATCGAACTTGTTCATATTTTCCCCGAAGCCATGAGCAGCCTCACTAACACCACCACAACCTTCCTCCAATCCCACATCGTCGCCAAACCCCAAAATTTCCGTCACAAAATCTCACTCCCGGTAATCAGAGCCTCATTTCCAGGAGAAAACGATCAAGAAAATAACGCCGCGAGTCGAAGAAAAATTGTGACAACATTCTTGGCCACTACATTGGCACTTGGGGCGCATCAACACGGGGTTGCCACCCCGCTCGGGCTAGCTGAAAATTGGGGTGTTCGTTCGTTTATAAGGGAACGTTTTTTCGAGCCCGGACTTTCGCCCGAAGATGCCGTTGCTAGGATAAGGCAAACAGCTGAAGGGCTACATAGCATGAGGGACATGTTGGAGGCCATGGCTTGGAGGTACGTCATATTTTACATCCGTCTGAAGTCGGCCTATCTATCCCAAGATTTGAAAAATGCCGTGACCTTGGTGCCAGAAGGTCGCCGGAACGAGTATGCTAAGACGGCCAATGAATTGGTGGATAACATGGCAGAGGTATGTTTCTCCTCAAGTGATGTTACGCGTATATAGTATCAATTATCATGCATTAATTGGCGTTCAATTTGATGTGTATTACAATGTACTTATATTTTTTGTTGCACTTGCAGCTTGACTATTACGTTCGAACGCCAAAAGTGTATGAATCGTACTTATACTACGAGAAGACATTGAAATCGTTGGATGATTTGGTTGCGCTGTTGGCCTAGTTTTAAGATGGTTGGACATCTTTTGTTTGAAACTGGATTGAACCAAATATGTTTGGGTATGTACAGAACTACAAGTGTATTGTCAATTAAGAATTATTGCTATTTTTGTAGATTTGTTATTAGATTTGTAAAACGTTGCACTTTGCCATAATAACGGGAAAGAACATGACACCACTTCGACCATCATTCCTCATCATCCACCATCATGACTTAACCTAACTATCAATCTCTCAAAAGAACTTAGTCAAGCGTATCTTTCAGATGATCGTCAAGGAACCGATGAGACCTTGATGCAGTGTGTTGTGTTGGAGATTAATTCGGCTCAAGGCGAGTTGCGGAGTTATGACTCAATGGTTGCTTGGTACATGATCCATCTCTTTTGGATCCAAGCTCAGTAAGAATGGTCAGCCTAAGAGTAAGAAGGCGGTTCCTTAGATTGAACAACACCACAAGTAATTTCACTGGTCTTCTGTTTTAATTGTATATATACATACTCTCATCAAAGCATTCTTCTCTTCATCATGCTATTGAACTTTAAGAATTTCACTACGATCATGTCGAGTTTTAAATCGAATAAGAAGCGCAGAGCTGCAGTTAGCTTGAGCAGTACTATTCTTTCCGATTCTGGATAAGTTATTCGAACCCGTTGACCATGTTCGTTTTGCTGCGTTTGCAGGGAACTGTCTTCTCTTTCTAAATTCTAATGTTTTAATGCAACGGTAGCATAAGGTACTTCCCATGCTCTTGATCCCGAAAACTGACCTCCCAAGCGACCACCAAAGAGCGCTATACAGCATTTCCGATGGAAGAATCAACGACGATATTCAGTTCCATGTGCCTTTTAGGACTAAGAGGTGTTGTGGCTGTGGATATGCTTAGTTGGCCAAAGTAGATCATACAAAGGAAGGTCTGTTAATAGCACACAGGGACCTTTCAGAAGACCAAGTGATTCCATTCATCTCCCTCTATTGAAGGCGTGGATAGACGATTGTGATTCGAAAAGCTGCAATGATCATTACGTCAGTAAGCTGATCCCATTCTGTTTCCAAATTCTATAATCTTGCAACGCAGTAGGCGGCACAAGGTATTTCCCATGCTCTTGATCCCCAACCCCCACCACGACAACCACTGTAGACTAATATTATACAGCACTTATGAAGGAAGAATCCACAACAAATTCAGTTACAAGTGCCTTTTACAAAGAGGTGTTGTGGCAGTGCCTCTAGCCACGGTTGGCTGGCGACAATTGAAGATCGAACGGACCAAGGTCTGTTTATAGCACTCAGGAACCCTTTCAACAAAAAACTGCAGCTCGTTCTCCACCCTCCCTTGAATAAAAGTATCCCTGGACATAACACACCCTACCATATCACGTCCATAAGATTATCAGCTGATCCCTCAATGAATCCGGATAATTATGTGGTTGTAGCACTTTTCGGAGGTTGGCTTTCTTCAAAGCAGGTCAGAGGTTTTGGACTTACTTCAATCTTTCACATAACATATTTGTTGACGTTATATTTTATAAAAGCCAACTCTAAGCTACTAACTGGTTGAGAAGTGTTTGGTCACTGGATGTTGATAGCAGTAAATTGACCATTCACTGCCGCCTGAACTGAAGCTACTCACACCTGAAAACGACTTCCCAGAAAGTGTTGTCATTATGCATATCTTGTGGAATCAGTTAAGGGTGACTGACCTATTGCACGTCCTAAGATTTTTGTTGGATAGTGGCCAAATTAGTGGCCAACTTGGCATTCACTTTCGGCTAATAAAATAGAATAAGAAAAAGGGGGACATCATTATGATGTCTAGCCCTTGATTTGTGGCTTTTACAAAGGCAAATAATATGTGGTCTTGTGTGATGAGTGCAGCCAAAAGAGAGAAGAGGAGAGAGAGAAGGCGGGGCCTTTTGTTTATATTAAGGCATTTGGTTATGCCTTTGGATGAGGGGGGAGCGCCAGATGAGAGAAACCAGGGAGAGCATTCGGCTCTCCCATTTGAATATGAGCTGCTCCTTCCCACCATTTGTAATAATCCCATTTTGTTAGTAATCACTCAATCAAAGATGTTGGTGCTACTTGTATAGCTTTTGGGAGAGAAGGATTTTGATATGTGTTTCTTCTTCTCCATTTGTTTCTTAGTTTGAGTGAGAGCTATTGATTGTATGTGGGATTTGGGTTTGAGAGTTAAAACTCTATATGTAATCTCCTTTTAATATTAGTGGAATTTCCTCGCCGTCTCGGAACTGGACGTAGGCTTACGCCGAACCAGTATAAATCCTTGTGTTTTGGATTATTTGTCTTGTCATATTTTGCCGTTGTAACTTATTGGTTTCATATTTGACGCTTCCGCACAACAAGTGGTATCAGAGCTCTGGGTTTCGACTTGAGGTTTTGTATTAGTATGTCTATGAAATCTTCGAATGACAGTGAATATGTTTTTTTTGAAAAAATTGGACAGGAGGAATGACTTTGGCATTTGGTCAATTGGAGATGCAGAGTTTGGCTGCAAAATGCGTGGCGTTGAAGAAGGATAGTAAGGGACTATGTTGTAGTCACTGAGCTCGCAGATTGGAGAATGGTTTCGGAAACAACGTGTCTGCTGCAATGTTGTTGTCGATGTTGTTGAAGTGTTGGTGTTCGACGGCTGCAGGTGTAGTGTACTGTTTTGGTAGATTCTCCGTTGGTCATCGCTGCACCGACGGTGTTTGTGGGCTGTTGTCGACGAGTTGAGTGGGAAGGAGAAAAAGTAGAAGTTGTTGAGAATTGAAAAGAAAATGTTGGTTCCTTTTCTTTCGGCATTTGTTTTGGCAGAAGGACATCATGATGACAAATGATGTTGTTGGCTGAAAAAAAAGGGTTAAGTTTTCTTCTCTTTGGCATTTTTTCAACGGTAGAGAAGTTTTTCTTCACTCCCACTAGTTACCTTTGGAGCAAGTTGATGGAAACATTGGAGGAGTTTGTGAGGGCCAATTTGTTAAGTTCTGCAAGTTTGGATAGTGAGACACCACACTATTTTGGAGACACCTAATGCGGAACATTTGTGTGGAACCCTCTTGTAGAAGGCAAGTTATATGCTTTCTAACTTTGGTCTATGGACATTTGGTTGGATTTGTTTGCCACTGCTATTTGGTATGTTGGTCTCCATCATCTGCAATTAGTTTTCTTGAAGACTTTAGTTGAGGTATGGTTTTGGATCTCCTGCTGATTATTTGAATTTGAAATTTTGGTTGTCCTGTTGGTGCTCATGTGATGATGGTAAACTTGAGTGAAGGGCATATTTTTTGTATGTGGTATGTGAGACCTTGTTGCCAAATTTGTAATCAGTTTTGACTTGGAGAATGTGTCATGCTATGTGAATGAGTCTATTGGTGCAATTTAAGACCATGGTGTTTGTGAGCAGGTGGAGTTCGTTGTGTGTCCAACTTTGGTATGGTGTGCTTGATCTTTTGTCGGTGATATTGAAGAATTTCAGTTCTTCGTTTGAATCACCTTTTGTTTTGATCAAGGCACTTATGGTTTGCAAATTTGGAGAATATAGTAAAGAAATGGTCTACTTTTGTTGGCTTTGGTACAATTTGAGTCGAGGTGGAGATCATTATGAGTACCAAAAGTTTGGGGAATTTGATTTAGTTCCTGTTGTCTTTAGTTTGTACTTTGGGTGCTTATGGTGATTGTTGATTCGATTCTCTGTGATGTTTTCGGAATTTGGCCAAGGTGGAGATTGTTGGATAGTGGCCAAATTAGTGGCCAACTTGGCATTCACTTTCGGCTAATAAAATAGAATAAGGAAAAGGGGGACATCATTATGATGTCTAGCCCTTGATTTGTGACTTTTACAAAGGCAAAGAATATGTGGCCTTGTGTGATGAGTGCAGCCGAAAGAGAGAAGAGGAGAGAGAGAAGGCGGGGCCTTTTGTTTATATTAAGGCATTTGGTTATGCCTTTGGATGAGGGGGGAGCGGCAGATGAGAGAAACCAGGGAGAGCATTCGGCTCTCCCATTTGAATATGAGCTGCTCCTTCCCACCATTTGTAATAATCTCATTTTGTTAGTAATCACTCAATCAAAGATGTTGGTGCTACTTGTGTAGCTTTTGGGAGAGAAGGATTTTGATATGTGTTTCTTATTCTCCATTTGTTTCTTAGTTTGAGTGAGAGCTATTGATTGTATGTGGGATTTGGGTTTGAGAGTTAAAACTCTATTTGTAATCTCCTTTTGATATTAGTGGAATTTCCTCGCCGTCGCGGAACTGGACGTAGGCTTACGCCGAACCAGTATAAATCCTTGTGTTTTGAATTATTTGTCTTGTCATATTTTGCCGTTGTAACTTATTGGTTTCATATTTGACGCTTCCGCCCAACAATTTTATGCGTGGGTAAAAGATGCCTCTATGTCGATGAGGTTGCAGTGCAAACTATGGGATTCGAGGTTTACAAGTGCGTGTTTGATGGTGAAGACGGATCTCTTGTGAACCGGATTTAGGTAAAAAGCATGGGAAATGAACCATGTGATATGGCTATTTACAATTTAGAGGACGAAACCATCACACAACATTACTCTATGAACACAAGCTCTCAGACAGCTTTGGTTGTGCCGCATTTTGATGGACTATGTTTGCTTCGGATCAAAGGATGATCTGGTCGCACTGTTGGCCTAGTAGTAGGTGGGGTGACATAATTAACCAAATATGTTTGGCTGCGTATGATTGATTAATCTGCAATTTTAGGAGATCTGTTTGTGCTTAGATTCATTGCGGTGAGTGTTGGTTTTATTTAGTGCAAAAGAAATTGTAATTAGATATTGAAAATATGGTTTACAGTTTAATTAAATTTACACAAGGTACGTAACACACTTGCAAATCCATATATTTGTATTCCCACGAATAGATGGCATTCATCGCCAACAGTTGCTTGCAGCACATCAGCGTCGAGAAATTGCCACCGATGACATGATGATTAGCAGTAGAAGTACAGTTATGGCAATGAAGGAGCCAATGAGAGACCCCGAAATGCGCCCACAGAAGCTGTTGAACTGCTGACAGAATGCGAACCAGTTGGTGCTGGGGTTCCCGTAGTGCGCCAGGTACACTATGGCTGTAGCTGCTGAAGCTCCGGCAGTAACAAGCCCCATCATCACCTTCACAACATTTGTATTTACTTATTAAACAAAGTAGCATTTACCATTTGACAAAGGCTATACGATTGAGTGAATAAAAAGCCAAGGTAAGCTTAAATATTAGTTAGTTAGAGAAAGTGATTTCCGCATATCTATTTTCGGTGAAAAAAAAGAGAAATGGTGAGTGCGGAAATAACTTTCCATTAGTTATATCAATGAATTCAACGTCTTTTACCGTGTCCGAGATGATCAAGATGATCCTACTGTTTACTGCTGCAGTCCAGATGATATGGACAATAGATACAGGAAGGGAAAGCACAAGGTAGGCACATACGATTGAATTGGTCATCACAAAGAACCTGTATGTGACATGAATCACAAAGTTTGAGCAATTTCGCTTTGGAAAAAAGAAAATAGTACCTTCAATTATTTTCGCAATAACAAAATATCCTTACGTTAACGTGGGAAGATCCTTGTACCGAGCCCTGAAGCGAATAAACCGCGTGGCGAAGGGAAGTGTTTCCCTGCTAGTTCCCATAGCTATGGCACTAGCTAATGTTCCGAGGACTGCAACGACTCGAAGAGTGAAGTCTAGAACAGCGAGTACTCTGCTCGCCTTGATTTTCGGGATCGGTTTCGAGGCTTCAGTAAACTTAACAACTGGTCCTCCTCCTGCCTTCATGTTTTTTTCTCAGCTATATTCTTTGAAGCTGAGCTCTACAGTGGGTGGTTCTGCTCTGGAGAAACGGGGGAAGGCATGCTTATATATGCTAATGTGCATGTCGGAGTGCAACCTATGTTTGTCTAAGCATGCCATGTGCAAACCTCTGATAGGCTACAAGATATGTTATTTTATTTTTACCTGCTGCACTTGCTGTGTATATATTATTCTGAACCATGAGGATCATTTCTCCAACTCCAACAATGAACAGATAATACCATGAAATCTTGGGACATAGGTTTCTAGAGATTCTGGTGACATGTCCAGGTACTAGGAAAATGGCCAATGAGCTAGGATCATGAAGTCATCTGGAAATGCTGTGGAGAATGTTGTCACTGTTTTAGTGGGTTTGGTGCTTATGTTCCAAACATGTATATTTCTTTTTCTTTTTGGTGACAAAGCGGTATTTTAAATTATTCTAACTTGTTGGAAGGGTGAGTCCAACTTAGATGTAGGGGGACGTTCACCTTACCTTAATTAACTGGCCTAACTTAGATCTATCGTGTGAGAAACAAGTCTAGTCCTAGATCCAAATCCACCAAACCGAAAATGCTATAACAAATACAAAGCACGTCAGCTAGTTAGCTTATTTAATCAAAGTATGGTACTAATTAAATAATTACAACCCTGATCGCACGAGGATTAGCGAAACAGATCGAGAAAACTTACTTAAGCCATGGCATGTTGGATCAATCTTGGCCTCTTCCCTCGCCGTTTCGTTTATCATCGTAGAGATCTAACATGCAAACATGAGATAGACATGTAGCCACGGACAACTTGCCGGTTATCTCTGCTCGAAATACACCTACCTCTTCCTAATTGCCACCAATCCACGCTTTTAGAGCTAACGATCGTAGCAAAACAAATCCTAACCTATGCTTTGGACTAATTTTCTTGCATCATAATAAGTTATAACGGTTTAGAGTGTTCAGATACCACCCATGCGTTTCGGATTTGAAACACTCATCTTTCTTAAATTTTTGTAATAGTTTCAAATCCTATTCTCTCTAGTAATAAAATTAAAAATAAAAATAAAGTTATACCGATCGAAGAGGAGGAGAAGTTGGTTGATGACGGCAAGTCATCCTTGGCTGCAGCACGTATTATTATCTCATGTTTGCATGCAAGAACTTAGATGAATATTCAATACTTGCACTCTTCTGCGGGGATGGTTGGAAGAAGGGAGGGAAGGAGCAAATGACAATGCCTGTTGTGCTTGCTAGCTCACATCATGAACTAGAAACTTTTCACTTAATTATATACGTATATATATGAGACAGATTCATGGTATCAATTTTTTTACACAACTTTTAATACACGGTTTTGTGGACCCTACTTTGTAATATATTTCAATGATCCGAATTATTTAATCTTTTAGGTCTTGCCTTGAATATTATGTCTACATAAACTTACCCAAATCTAAAACCACATGATCGTTGGATTAAGGGTTTAGAGTTTCTTTGTAGAACCATATTCGTTCAATTTTTTCACTACAAATGAATGTCTTAATGGTTTTGATTTTGTCTATTTTTTTTTTTTGCAAAGATAATATATGAATGATGTTCTGAAAGATAAACGATTCAAATCGTTAAAATACATTACAAAGTAAGCTTTACAAAAATACGTGTCAAAAGTTATGTAAAACAAGTAGTATCACGGATCTACCCCTTATATAGACATGTTGATGTCAAGCAAAATAATGCAGAGAAATAGTTATGATTCTCATTAGATTAAGTAATACTCTAAACTGCTTTAATCGATATTGCATTTTAAATTTGAAATGTATCCACAACGAAGGATAGATTGAGGCCATAAGCTTTTTTTGGTAAGCAATTCCTGTTGTTGTTGCCGGAATTGATCATTGCAATGGAATAAAAATCTTTGCACATGGTGGGTATCTCTAGAATGATGAAAATAGTTATGGGCGTGACATGACAATTATAATCCCTTTTTCTTTTTCAACTTTGCTACTTTGATGGAGCAGAAATTAATACCACCTGGTACATCATCATCCATTTTCAACCCTTTTTTCGACATGGACTACACGTTTTCTCTTCTTTTGAAAAACGTTACTGTAAGAGAATATGTGTTGCACTATAACTAATTCATGTTATTGAGTAAGAACATATAATTCTGAGAATTTCTTATATATAGTGTTTTACCGCCTCTTTTGGGGGGTGTTGGTGCGAATAATACCGAGGACACGACTAATTAAGATCTTCTCATGCTAATCGCCAATTACATTGTCACACGAGTCCACATAAATGTGTGAGAGCATCTCAAGGAAGAAAATATCGGAAATATCGATAGTTCGAAAACACGGAAATATCGATGGAAATATCGGGATAATATCGATATCGATAAAAATTACATGGAAACCACGGAAATTGTAAGAAAAACTTGGAAATTTTTATTGAAACTTTGTAGGATGTTTATTTAGTCAATTATCTATTAGTTTATCACAAAAAATTGGAAAGAAATGCATTGCATGATGGATTTAACATTATCAAGTTGATTATATAGCGAGCTGACAAACATTGTGAGTGTAAAAAATATGTAGTAATTAATGAAAGAAGTCTAAACACACCATAATCATTTATATATAATGAATTAGTACAATATTTTACACTTTATACATTGCATGGTAAGATATATGAGTGACTTAGTACCACATAGAGTTCCTATGAGGTTCAAAATTTTCACTATCTTCATCATCTCTATGTGTAGAGTGAGTGTATTGCGAAGAGTAGTTATCAAATGATAAATCCCCAAAATAGTTTTGCATGTAATTGTTAACATGCCACCCATATGGATCGGAGATTGGTTAACGTTGTCCATAAGCAAAATCATTTGAAGATTGAGTCTCGGATTGTTTCCATGAGTCGCTCGATTCCATCCCAACAGGAATGAGATATGAAGGGTAGGGAAATGGTTGGTTATGAGTATTACCATAGTAACTACTTCCCACTCCAACAGAGTCCGAAGTTCTAGATAACGAGTCATCTTCTTGACTTGACAAAATCCCCTTGCCTCTTTCTCTACGAGTATAGTCCTTCCCTATGGCACCAATTCCTGGTCCTGCCTGCCTACTGCCATGGTCATCATCCTGTGTTGCATGCGTGAAGTTTGCCTCACCAATGAAGGGGCTCATAAATCCGGGAGGTGGTCCATAATAGTTTCCATATCCACCACCACTACCTCCAGCTCCACTATGTCCTTCATCATTCCCACCTCCGGTGGTAGGTGAGTCTCCTGATCTTGTACTAGAGCTATCATTAGTATCAGCACGATGTTGTGGTTGTGTAGGATTGGAAGAAGGTGGAATTCCAGTGTTTCTTGGTCTTGGGCGCAAAAGTTCTTCCAAAGAGTCAGCGCTGCTAGATCCCACCTCTTCCTCTAATACTCTTTCTACATTTATCCCTTCATTACGTGCTTCTTCAGCAACTCTGGGAGCTGGGTTGCCTTCATCATCATCTAAATGAAGAGGTCTAATCCATTGAAAAAGTTGGTTACCCTCTGTATCATCATCTTCACCAACAATATCAAACACATCTAGTGGGTCACCACGGTCGACATGATCTATTTATGCTTCCTTATCTCGAATTTGAAGCTTCATGTTGTAGTAGCAATAAACTAATTTTTCCAAGCTACTATGAGCCAACTTATTTCTTTGCTTTGTGTGTATGAGTGCAAATGTGCTCTAATTTCTTTCACAAGAATATGAGGAAGCTGTTTATGATAATACTTTGATTGCTAACTTTCTCACAGTTGGTGCATCGGTCCCATACATGATCCACCATTTAGCTACAATGAAAAACAATGTTGATAAGCCTAATAACTCCAACAAATTATATTATAAACTTATAGTGAAATATGTTTATACTCACTAGGAAACATATTTGTTCGAGCAGCAACTGATGTTGGTTCTCCAAAAGTTCTTCTTGCATCTTTAAACCATGTTAGCTGAATTCAATAAATCGTGTTAGTTTAATCCAACAAAGTAATTATTATAATTTAAGTAATTGTGTATCTCATTTCCAAATTGGCCAACTGCTGGTGATGCAGGGTCTAATTTAGAGTATACATTATGTACAGCACGTATAAGGTTACCATCATCTCCAACACCGGGTCTGTATTGGTATCGGGGATTCAAATAATATGCTGTTCAAAGAAACACATACTCTAATAAGAGAAATAATACTTATGCAACTAAAGAAATGAATTGCAAATTATGACATAATTTATACTTGCTGCATGCAAATCGTGGTATAATGTTTTATACCATCGGTCTTCAATTATCTTTATGACCCACCTTGCACCATGTTTTCTTTCCAATTCATCCTTCACTACACGCATCAACTCATATACTGCCCCCATAGTAGGATACACTTATGTGTCAACGATCTGTAAAACTTTGTAAAGAGGTTCAAACACTTGGCACACATGTTCTGATTGAGTCCAAAAAGCATGATCAAGCACTATACTTTCCACCATACGACCTGTATTTGAGCGGCTCAAATTATGGTTGGCCCAATCGTCACTAGTGAATAGTTGCTTCAACCCTACTTTCTTCTTGAGTAGGCTGTCTAATGCAATATAGTTGGTGGCGAATCGAGTAGTAGCTGGACGAATAATTTCTCCTTTGCAAAATTCACGCATCTTTGCCAACAACCAACCGTGATTGTAAATATAATTTGTAATCGTTCTAGCTCTTTTGACCACAGTAGCAACATTCTCTCTCTTCCCCATTGCCTCAAACATGAGATCAATACAATGTGCTGCACATGATGTCCAAAACACATTATGATGTTTCATTAACTTTTTCCAGCTTTGACAAATGCAGAACCGTTGTCGGTCACGACTTGGACAACATTATGCTCTCCCACCTCCATGATTACATCCCTCAATAATTTGTAAATATACTTGTAGTTCTTTATATGGTCTGAAGCGTCAACAGACTTAAAAAAAATTGTCTTTCCCTTTGAGTGTACCATGAAGTTTATGATAGACAATCTGGTCGGGCCGGTCAATCCGTCACACATGATTATGCAACCATTAGTTTCCCACTTTGACCTCAACTTGTTAACATACTCGCCAATGTCTTTATACTCCATATCCAAATATTTGTTTCTTATCTCATAGGGAGTGGGAGGTTGTACTCCAACACCGGCCTGTTGACATCCCACTACCATATTTTTGAAATGATGTGATGATGCCTTTGCAGCAAGGACATTTTCATAGATAAAGAACTTGCTAATTAGACGCCCCATTCCCTCCAGTGAAATAACACCAAACACTCTTTTGACGTGCTTTGGATGACTTATATAAACTTGGGGCTATTGGTGGTGTTGGTTGTGATTATCTAAGACTGCCTCCCCGTCTCATTTGTGCACCACCACTTGTCCCGGAACCTTGTGCTCTATTAGGAATTTTATGAAGGTGTTCTCTTTCCCATGCTGACTGTTTGGAGACACGTAATGCTTGTTTCAAATTGCGTCGTTCTTCAGGTCCCATGTCATCATCACATTCGTCCTCATCGTCATCATCATCATTGTCAACCGCTTGGCCATAGACTTCTCCCCGTAGCCCAGCTCGAATATTTTCCATTCCCTGTGTTATCTTTTCCTTCTACTGTTTTTTAATTTTTAATAATGTGCTAATGAATGCCTTCACTTATAGGGGGACATTATCGCATCGTTGGACATTTTTTGATGGATCTAATCCACTAAGATGGTACTTAAGTCGTGTCACTCCGCCACTCTTCATTACCCGACCACAATATTTGCAAATTGTGCCATGTTTGTTTCCGTCTATTGGGTCTCCATGTTCCCAAGCTGGATCACGTTTAGTAGCTCCACTGGACATCGTAAACGTACCTACATTTATTTTTCATGAAAATTAGACAAATATTTTTTGGCCAAAAAATATAGTAGTGATGACTGTTATATAAGAGAACCTAAATAATAAAGTTATTCTACAGAAGAATTAAATACGAAGTAAAGAAAATGATTGTAAAAATTTAAGTAATTAAAAAAATAATATGGAATAATAAAACCTAATATTAATGAATAATAATCCAATTTGATAAAAAAATAATCCTAAATAAAACATGGTGATGAATAATAATCAAATTTGATAATAATCCAATTTAATGAATAATCCAATTTAATGAATAATAATCCAATTTGATAAAAAAATAATCCTAATATAAAACATGGTGATGAATAATAATCCAATTTGATAATAATCCAATTTAATGAATAATAATCCAATTTCATAATAATCCAATTTAATGAATAATAATCCAATTTCATAAAAAATTAATCCTAATATAAAACATGGTGATGAATAATAATCCAATTTGATAACAATCCAATTTAATGAATAATAATCCAATTTCATAATAATCCAATTTAATGAATAATAATCCAATTTGATAAAAAAATAATCCTAATATAAAACATGGTGATGAATAATAATCCAATTTGATAATAATCCAATTTAATGAATAATAATCCAATTTCATAATAATCCAATTTAATAATAATCCAATTTAATGAATAATAATCCAATTTCATAAAAAAATAATCCTAATATAAAGCATGGTGATGAATAATAATCCAATTTAATGAATAATCCAATTTGATAATAATCCAATTTAATGAATAATAATCCAATTTGATAATAAAAAAAAACCTAATATTAATGAATAATAATCCAATTTGATAAAAAAATAATCCTAATATAAAACATGGTGATTGTTAACATTACTTAATTACTTAAAAAATTAACATGTAATTGTTAACATTACTTAATTACTTACAAAAATTAACATGCAAGTATTAATTACTTTAAAAAATTAACATATGAGTCCACACAAATTTATTTGTTGTTGTATAAATAACAATAATATAAATATAAGTTTGTAAACTTACCTTAAATATGGAACCCTTTGTGTTCAAGCTTTGGAATGGATCTGGAATGGCTTTGAAAATGGTAAGGGAAGAAGAAGAAACGAAAATACTCCACATCTGATAAGGTGAAAGAATATAACAGAAAATGGCACACTGTTTTGCATGTGAAAGAATATCACGGACTTACAGTGAAAGCACTATTATTTGCTGTCCATGGTCTGAAATTGCAAAAAGTTATTTGGATCATTGGATCAGAGAGCTAGAGATAGGTTTTGAATTATTTGGATCATTGGATTCTTTTTTTTTCTCACATTCCACCACACACACACAGAGTCAGTGAGTGAGTCACACTCACACGCCACCACACACGCACACAGAGTCCAGAGATCGAGATTCCCCCTTACACCACACACGCACAGAAACTGAGCTCAGTCTCTCGATCCTTCATTCTCTCTCTTCTGAGTTCTCCATCCTTCATTCTCTCTCTTCTGAGTTCTCGATCATTCTTCCTTCCCTTCTCCCTTCTCCAGTTCTCCCACACACACACACACAGACTCTCCTCCGTCGTCCCCATCGGCGCGATCCTCCTCGTCTGCGTCTCCCTCTGCTCCTCCCTCGCCTTCCTCCTCGTCGAGCCCGTCACCATGTCCCGCGGGCCGCGACCTCTACCTCTCCTCCGTCATCCCCATCGGCGCGATCCTCCTCGTCCGCATCTCCCTCTGTTCTCTCTCTCTTTCATCTCTTTCAGCCGCTGATCGAATACGATATGTGAAATGCTTGCTCATTGATCTCTTAGCTCCGTCCGATCCGCGGCCTTCCAAAGATGATGATCTTTAGCACTGTAACTGCCGGTGAGGTACTCGATTTCTCAGCTTCTACTGTTTTCTTCTAGATCTTGCTCGAATTCAAGCCCTTGCTTCTCGGATTAGTGTAATTTTGTCATTGATTTTGGTATAAAGTGGTGATTTTTGTTGAAAGATAGTGATGATTTTGTTCCGTTTGGTTGCAGGTTTCGTTCTTGCTCGAAGTTATTCTCCGGCGAGGTTATGACTGACTGTCGAGAAACCAAAATATCGCGATAGTATCTAAAATATCGCGATATTATCGATAATATCGCGATATTATCGATAATATCGCGATAATATCGATAATATCGCGATATTTTGACGAAAATATCTTGGATACCTATTAAAATATCGGTAAAGCAAAAAACCGATAACATCGGCGAAATATCGCCGATATTATCGATTTTTTCTTCCATGGAGCATCTTCAACAACCTAGCTAAATGAGGTTTTTTTGCTACATTAGTAAAAAATGCAAAAACAATCGAGCTCCAAACTTCAACAAGCTAGCTAAATGACTAATTATCTTAACTTTGTAAACAGTAATTAGCTAAATTTAACCAAGAGAAGAGAGAGAGCTAAATTTTTGCTAAACATTAAAAACTATATATAATGCATTGCTTGTAGCCTTAAACTAATATTAAAATATTATATATGGGTTTGAGGCCGAGCTATATTAAAATAAAGGCCCAAGAGACGTAAAACTGAATCCGGCCCAATTAAAAAAAAGGCCTCAATTGTCACAGCCCAAAAGTTCACTCTTACGCGCTCTGCGTGTGGCGTAATCTCTAGGCTTGCTTCTTCTTCTTCTTCTTCAGATATCCTCCGCTTCTGCAATCGGATCCGATCTTTGATCAGGTAAGCTTCCAACCCTTTCACTTCTGCTATTTCCCAGTTCAGAAATCTCGATATTTACCAATCAAAGCTGTTAACTTTCTGCTGCAAATCAAGCACTTAGCTGCCCAGTAGCAAACTCACTGATACCTCTGATCTGGGTTCTTCCAAAAGTCCATGATCCAATTGGTATTTACTCTGATTGTTTATGATTACCCCCAGAAGGAACCGTATTTACAAGTTTTGCCATATTTTCAGCTCTTCTTTCACCAACCGAAGATTTGCATATTAAATGAGTTTGAATTCTAGTTGTTTTTGTTGGTGCCTCTGTGCTTGCGGAAAGATTTGCTTTAATTTGTTTTGCTGCAAAGATTTGACTTTCTTCGTTACCATAGTTCCATGTCATCTTCAAGATGCTGCTGATCCGAGCTGTTTCGGGTAAAGGTTGAATCGGGAAGTTGAACTTCAATCCCCAAGTAGCTGGAGTTTGATCTTCGATGTTGGATTGTGGACTAGGAGTTGGGAGGGCACGTTGAAAGGCTGCATCTTCCGTGATGCGCCGGGCGCTGGGAGTGTAGTTTAATGGAATTAGTGCTTTACTTCAATGTGTTTTCATGGCATCGAACATTTATCAACCTAGTCATAGTGATATTTCTTCGTAGGGGTGTATTGCTGGATGGTTTTACAGACATTTATATGCATGTCAATGATTTGATGGATAGAGTTGAACCAATGAATAGCCTGATCTTATTATAAGCAGCATCTTGAAGATGACATGGAACTATACGAGATTTTAAAAAAGAAGGAACTGGTTCGCTTATTTGGAACCCCCAACGAAATGACTACATTTGTTTACATGTGTTTTGATTGAGTAAACGAGTCTTTTGTTTTTGCAGTTGTCGCCAGCACCCTGAGCAAAATATGTCTGGTACAAACATGGAGGAGGTTAAGGACCAAGAGGTTGCTGATAGCACTCCAATGGATCTAGGTGATGGTGACAATGCCGGGGTAGACCCAAAAGCTTCAAATGAAAATCATGGAAATCCCATGCCTTCAGCCCAGCAGGAGGTGCAACTCTGCACTACAATTTAGTTCCGAAAATTTTGACATGTCCTACATGTTGCCCTGTTGTCTATTACTATTAGTACAGATTTTTTCCGACATTGGAATTCTCTTTTTGCTTCAAACTTTCCCTTAGCCTTAAACATTCGCTTTGGAGTTATGCAATAGGATCATTGTCTGTGATTGTGTCTTCTGCAGGAGGCAGCAATTAAGAAAAAGTATGGAGGCATACTGCCAAGGAAGACTCCCCTAATATCCAAGGTAATTGTTCGTCTTGTATCTCTCTTTTCCCCTATCACACCGCATTCCGCTGTTGCGATTCTAGTTTTCTCTTTATCATGATAAGTCACAAGTTGAAATTTTCTGTCAGGACCATGAGCGTGCTTATTTTGATTCTGCTGATTGGGCACTTGGAAAGGTATTTGTGTGGATTTTCTTAGACTACTTGTTGCTGTAACTATGAAGTTTGAATGCCTAATATCTTTGACTATCTATGGTTTTTTAACTTCTTTAACAGCAAGGTGCAAAGCCGAAAGGGCCGCTGGAAGCACTCCGCCCAAAGCTGCAGGTATGCTTGACCGGATCTTTATGTTTTTCTTACCTCAAGCGGGGCTAGAAGTTGTTAGGGGTTGAAAGATCCGCCGTCACTGTGAAAAAACTAAACTTGTTTTCGCATATGCTGATTCTCGTATTTGATCTTTCTTGTTGTCATCAGCCCACACCGCACCAGCAAGGGCGTTCAAGGCGCTCAGCTTATTCTTCTGGAGGCGAAGGTGATGGTATGTGCAATCAATCGCCAATAAACTTGTCATGTTATAAACCTCTTCAGCTGCTCAGCACTTGAACTCCCTTTTCTTTTCCAAATGGCAGATGGCGGAAATATGAACATTTCATCGGAGGACCAACTAGATGGTGGCAGCGGTGACAACACTGGCGATGAGGATCAGACCCGCCACCACGAGTAGCTGCTGCCTCCCACATCTTCGCAAATTAGAAGCCGAGGATTTGATCATTAGTAAAATACCAGATCGAAGAAGATAAACAATCCGAATTTTCGTACTGGTTTTGTAGCATGTATAACATATTGAATCATGTACACACTCATGGACACATGATGTTCATTTGCTTAAAATTGCATTCTTTTTGTTTGATCAAACAATATATTTGTTAGATTAGATGTTAAATTAGGGAATCGACAAGATTCGAACTACAAGGGCAAACATTTATCTTCAAGACGCGTAATAATAAGATAAAACGACATTGGTTATATGGAAAATGATCATCTCCAGATCCTCTTTGTGGGGATACAAATGATCTATCAATTACGATTATTCATCGTATAATGTGCAGTCAGTTTTTATTAAACACTATTTATATTCAATTTAAAATGATTTCTGCCGTTGGCCAACAAATCGTTAGTCAAAACTTCCATTTGTCCGTATTTCGAGAAAAAAGTGTCTCTTATGTTTTTCTTTCTTATTCACACTGAGCTGACGGCTGAAGAAAATGATCCATTGCGCCATTCCCTCCATGTCCAACATCGCGCCACGTGGCCTAATCACGTCGGGTTCCAATCCTTCTCCGACCCGAGTCAACTCGGATTCTTCAGCCGACGGGTCACTGGCGCCGGCCTCGCTCTGCGTGAGCAGCGGATATGTTCGTGCGGAAGACGGCGCTTCATCGAAGCAGCAGTGGCGACGCCATCGTTATTCCCAATTCGCCCTTCCAAAGCCTCCGCGGCTTCCAAATTGACTTCTGAAGATTATACGGTATGTGCGTACGACCCCGTCTTCTGATTCTTGCTCTGCAATTTTGAAGGGTATTTTCGTCTGATGAGTGCATTGATGAGTGCATAGGCCATGTTAGAAGAAGTTCACCCTCCAAGACCGGGCTGGTACGAGGAGCTTTATGCATCCGTTTTGAATACCGCCATGAAATCTTATGAAGCCGAGGTTAGTGATTATATTTAATTATAACGAAATCTAATGAAAAATGCTTAAAAACTTTGAGTTTTGAACAATAAGGACAAAATAAAGGGTAAATTAAATAGGATCATGATTGATTTTTTTCGTAAAAATATGATTTTTTGTTAAAGTATACGGTAATTGAAGCTTTTCATTAAAATTCGCTTAATTATAATTTAAATTAGTAGAATAGAATAGTTTTGATTTCAATTTGGACTAATGACCTGTTTGGGATTGCTTCTTGACGGGGAGCATTTCTATCCTGGGTTAACTAAAAATGTTCTGAGTCACATAAGCGCTTTCTGGAGAAGCATATGCTCTTGGAGAAATACTTCAACTTTTCAGCTAGCCCTTGGATTTTTAGTAATATATCAATGTGCAAAAATTAACACCTCTAGCAGAAGCAAGTTTGAGGAAAAATGCTTTCTACAAAAGCACTTCCAAACTAGTCTAAATTTGAGATTAGTGTATGGTATGGATGTTTTAACTGCGATATCATTTGGTGGGTAGATTGCAGGTTACAAGACAGAGCTCTTTGCTGAATTGAAGGGAAAAGCTGAGCAAGTGTTGGAAATTGGTATTGGGACTGGTCCTAATCTGAGATACTATGCTGCTGATAGTGGTGTTCGGGTTTTTGGCGTGGATCCGATTATGAAGATGGAAAAATATGCTCGGGCTGCTGCTGTGGCTGCCGGTCTGCCCCTTTCGAATTTCGAGTTCATACATGCTGTATGTGAAAACTTCAAACTTCCCTTATGGCAGTGCAGAAAAACACAGAAACTGGTTGTCAGTAAAACTTATATTTTCCAATGCATAATTTCTTATTAAGATGATCACCGACTGAACGAACCTAGTAAGATGCAAGTTTTCCTTTGAGCTACTTTGTTCACCCGTGACTGATTCAAGTTTTTGTTTTCGTTTGCAATTATGTTTGCTTTTTGTTTGTGATTCATACTCGGGAAATGCTAATCTTAACCAGGTTGGGGAGGCTATTCCATTAGAGGATGCTTCTGTTGATGCAGTTGTTGGAACTCTTGTGTTGTGTTCTGTTAAAGATGTCGACAACACTCTGAAAGGTAATTTAGCTTACGAGGGGCAGAATTTCCTTTTCGTAAACTTGTAGCACCAAGTCATTGCTATCTAGTGGTTACTACTTGTGATTGTGGATGCCTTTACATTCTAAGTTGATCTTTTGGGAAGCATCCGTTTTATTTCTTTAGTTTTCGGAAAGACTGCTCCTTCTCGCTGTCAAATGATGATGTGAAATGCGCATTCATTTTTCACTCAAAGAAACTTCTGCAGACCGTGTTAATGTAAAATCCGAACTTTAAACGAGTTCATTTGTCCTGTGACCTTCAGAGATAAAGAGAGTTCTAAGACCGGGCGGAGTTTACCTGTTCGTGGAGCATGTGGCTGCAAAAGGTAGTGTGAGCTGCAAATCTCAGTTCATTGATGACATTTAATGCAAGAGTATTGTGGCTTATCATTTTGTTTGCAACTGTTATGGTGCTGCTGCAGATGGTACAATCCTCAGATTCATACAGAGCGTTCTTAATCCTCTGCAACAAATCCTAGCCGACGGGTGTCATCTCACCCGGGACACAGGAAGGAGTATATCCAACTCCGGGTTCGCGGCCGTTAATCTACAGACGACCACCTTGTCCAGTGCCGCATTCGTAAACCCTCAAGTGTATGGAATAGCTCGTAAGTGACAACGTAAGGCATTACTCCGTCGCTCAATATTGGTCTCAACGCGTGACGGGAGAGATGAAAAAAGAAAGTGGGTGCATGAACCTCCGTTTATCATTCGGCTTGTGGGCCTCTAGGTGTTTGCTTCTGGCTGAAGGGAAGTTGAACTAACAATTGTATAATTCCTTATGAATTAGCAATTAGTGTTATCTGTTTGTTACACCTATAAGCAATAATTATGTGTGATTATCAACTTACATAAAAAGGGGTCCCATAAATAATGGCCAATTATTCCAAGCTCAGAGCCGCAGGTGACGATTATGAGCTAGTTTGTAAGTGTTTTTAAAATAATTAAAAGCGTTTTGGGAGAAAATGTTTTTGAAATCAATGATGTAAGTGAACCTTGAAAAAACACTTGAAGTGCTTCTTACAATAAACACATAACTAGTGCTTCTTGTAGGAAGCACTAGTTCAATCATTTTAAACGTACTAGAATAAAAGGAAAACTAATGAAAAGGGTTTGAAAACTTTGAGTTTTAACGATAAGGATAAAATAAAGGGTAAAATGAATAGTACCAAAATTGACTTTTTAGTGTAAAAATGTGTTTTTTCTTTAAAATGAACAGCACCGGAAGTTTTTCGTTGAAATTTCTTAAAACAAATTCTATAGCTCAGAAAACCACAGGCCAATTAAATAATATTATCTTGAATATCTTAATGCGCTTTTATGTGCATTAGGTTGGCCCATATAAAAGAATATGTGACAACACTTATATTTGGATGGCCCCATAATGTATGTGTATACAGCGCTTCGTCTGGAAATTGCTTTTAAACAACCTGATTCGCTTAGATATATTTTTAAAATAACTAGAGGTATTTTTAGTAAAGTTAATTAAATTGTTTGTTTGAAAGAAATATCAAATATGTGTTTTTTGCATGAAACATTTAAAATATCTTTTTAGAATCCACTTGATTTTTTTAGTAAACAAAACTTAGAACATTTTAACAAAAAACGATTTCGGTTCACTCTAAAAACACTGTTTTTTTACCAAAAATTATACAAAGGTAATAATCAATGAAGTTAGAATAAACAAGGAATTGAATGGGGATTATAGAAAATTATACAAAAAAGGGAGGATCTTAATGCAAAAAGGTCCCCTAAACATGCTCTTTCTTTTTCTCCCTGATATTTAGGGTTTCCATTTCTTGCTCAGTCCACAACCAGTGTCGTCTAGGTCGCAGCTCAGACTCAGTCAGAGAGTTTCTTCTCGTGCTTCGTCACTGTCGTCTAACTGTAAGCTCCTTTCTCTCGCTATTTCTCGATTACGTTTCAGGGTATTAAAAATACCCAATTATTTGTATCCAATTTATGCTTCCAATTTCTAGGGTTTTTCACTAATTTCAACTCCCAAATTTGATTTCTGTGTGTGTTTTTTTTGTCTGCACTGTAAAGTTTTGGTCTTTTAAATTATCTTGCTGAGGTTGATGAGTAATGCGTTCTATGAGGTTTAACCAGATGCCTTGTCTTCTATTTGATGAAAATATGAGAAATTTCGTCTTCTATTTGATGAAAATATGAGATATTTACTTACTGCAAGACTTGAAATTTGGGTTAAGTTGGGTCTTTATAAAAAAAACCCTTTTGATATTGGTGGTGAAAGTCAGTGGATTTGTCTAATGTATATAATTTTTCGATTCTTCGTAGTTATTGGTAGTTAGGTATGCATTTCAAATTTTGTTTTGTTTTAATAGCTGAGAAATGCTAGTGGTGATGGATTCGTTTGTTGTTGAGTATTTCTGTTCTGGTGTTGTACTTTGTTGAACGCTTGAAGCAAATTGCGTACTTGGTGTTTGAACACAGCTTTGTCTGAATTTGTTATCTTAACTTTGTTCGTAGGTTTGCCACCGTGACAGTTGAAGAAATTTGAAAATTTTCTACTTTGTTGAAGAAGTTCAGGGGTGTAAGCAGCGTACTTATGTTATGTCTGGTTAATGTGGAAGAAACTCTGATCCTATTTATATGTGTGTTTGCCCGTTTTACCCAAGTTCATAAGGGTATACAAAACCCTTGAGTTTGCCCGTTTTACCCAAGTTCATAAGGGTATATAAAAAATAGCTAAAACGGGGTCTCTGTGTTGTGTGGCCGCAAGGCCACATGAATCACATACACCCAGTAGGGACTGGTCAATGGGTCCAGAAGAGCCATGCTGGAGAACTAATACGAGCTTCTCACCACCCCCATCAAGATGGGATTTCCGTTTCCAACCTGAAGAATTACAGTACGGTTTTCATGATGGTAATCAGCAATATGGGTCTTCTACTTCATCAAACAGTAAAGGAAGTAGGGGCTGGGTGAGAGGCAACAATCTCTATAATCATCACTACTCGGTGTCTGATGGTGCTGGGCTGTTTTTAAGTAGTCCATCTGACCTTTCTCAAGGTCCTCAACGGACACCTCCAGCAATACAGGAAATCAGTGTAGATGATTATGAAACTGCAAAAAAGAGAGGTAACAATTGACAATGAATCTTTATTCTGTTTTATCTGTGCAAACACACACATGATGCTGTCTGTGATGAATTTCTACTTCTTGGCTTTAAATCTGGTGACAGAAAGTGCAGATGAAATTATCTCCGGTAACCTCAATGATTAAGATACTTTTCGGATTCCATATATTTTTCTGGTTCATTTAGTTGGAGTGAACTGAGCCATGGTACCATTTTATGTCTTTTACATGATCTTACAGTGTACCAATGAATTTTTGCAAATGATCTTGCATGATTGTTGTTCATATTATTTAGCTACACACACACACACACACATCTGCATATGCTGCTACTGCACAATTTGAGTGTATGTAACAGTCTCGGAAAAAGATTATTACACATATAGTTCTTGTTAACATCTGTGTGTGTGTGTGCACTCGTGATTGTGTGTACTGTGACGGTGTCACAAAAAGCTAAGCCATCTGAATTAGGTGATCTGATATATGGTTCTTACTAACTATCCTATGTACATGTCCCATTTGATTATTATAGAGCATGCGTTGAACACTTCAATAGCGATAACTAGTGTCATGCTTGACTACTTATACTTAACTACTTAAGATGGATCTCTTTCTTCTCTATCATGTAGGTTGCTAGTGTAAAGAATTTTTGGAGCTTATTGTATCTGATCTGGAATTCCATTGGTTTCAAGATCATTAGTAAACTTGGATGTGGACCTTTGTTGTGCCCTTTAGATTCCCAAGTTCCACATTGCAGATGATCACAAGTTCAGTTGACATTTCATACTTTTGGGATTCTCGATAGAATATCGTCGGGGATTCTCAAGGTTTCCATTTTGAAGGATTTGGTTGCATCATTTGAAGTGTTTCCCTGATTGAGTTCTTACCTTTTCCATTGATTTTAACAAACCATGCCTAAACAGTTACCATGATTGATCATTAATCAGATCCTTTCAGCTTTGTAAAAATAGAGAACTCAAAATTTATACTTATTAAGGACATTCATTCTCAAGATTGTGATCATTGGCTACTATTCATGTTGTGACTCATTTGTGTTAACTTCACCTCACTCCTGCTTACTTGCTAGGTCAAGCTTTGGGGCATACATCCATTAGACCTACCATGGAGGTATTGTATAAATTTTAACTGTGCTAGTTTATTGAATTAAGGAAATTTGTTTTAGCGTTTCCTTTCATGGTATCTTCGCAGGGAACCTCAGAAATTCAAGAAATGGGGGATTCCACCTCGTCCCGTTCAGACGGTAGCGAGTCTGAACCCACAGTGAAGCCGTACCTATCTTCCCATCATACATATCCAAGTCGGCGTTCGTTCATGGCCAAACCTATTCATCCCTTGTCCTTTCCTGCACAAACACCGCCCAGAGAGGCTTCTGATCTCACAGTTACTGGGTTTCTGGAGTATGATTCTGCCACTCCTCAAAGAGATGGCCACCGCTGGAGTAGTGCCAGTAGCAGCATTGATTTTGCAGATGTTTCTGAGTCATTTGAGGCAGAGATTTCTGGTCAACCTTGTAATAATGTGAATGTGTCTGATGGTTTTAGATGTGGTTTGTGTGAAAGGTTTCTTTCACAGAGATCGCCTTGGAGTTCTCGTCGGATAGTGAGAAGTGGAGATATGCCAGTTACCGGTGTTCTTTCTTGCTCTCATGTTTTCCATGCAGAGTGCTTGGAGCAAACAACACCCAAGACACGAAAAAGCGACCCTCCCTGTCCCCTATGTGCTAGACTTGAGGAGGAAAATCTCCAAGACCAGCAAGGCTTCTCAAGATTGCGGGCTGGTTTTCCAAGGCATAGACCAATAAGTGATGATGGATCATCCAGGCCTTGGGGTTGTGCACAGGTGGGAGATTGCGTTGAAGGGGCTTTGCATGCTCCTCCGCGCAATAGTATGCTGATGCTTAACAGGAGTCGCATAAAAAAAAACCTTTCTTTGAAAGGTAATTTGGGCAAAGAGTTTCCAGGTAAGCTAAGAAAAAGTGGACCTCACTCTTTACAGCATTTGAGTGGAAAGTCAGTTGATCAGGGAATGGTTGGAAGCTCAAAATCGAAGATGACAGCAGGCCCGAGTTTTAAAACCTGAAGAAAATACATCACATAGCTAACTGGAATCTGAAAATTCTCCCAAATGGCGATCGTTGAAGTCTGCTAATTGGTTGTAAGTCTCAGTAGATCATTATATATCAGCCATGTTTGGAATTATCGCCTTCATTGTATAGATTCGATCCTGCGCAGATTGTGGGTTCAAACCCATTTTAGTAGGCAACTGCGATGTTTAACGTTGTTATTGTTCCTCTGTATTTTTGTTGTGAATGATTCTTCTTCCCCTTACGGAAATGAATATCTTGTTTTGTCTGAAGACTTGAGTCCTGTGTTGCACATTTTCTTTCGACATGTCCTTCAAAGCAACAATAATATTGCCAAGGTAGCTCACTCAACGCAATCTACATCAACCTTTTTTTTTTTTTTTTTATAAATCTTTTTGAACAATTGGTTAACAGTAACGTGGTTCAAATTGATTAACAGTAATGTGGTTCAAATTCGCTTTTGGCGAGAATCGAACCTAAGACCTCTCATTTACAAGTAAAGAGAAATATCGTTTGACCGTAGTATATGGACCTGATTTACATTTGATTTCTCATTCTTCTCAAGAGGTCCATCTGATAAATAATGGGCAGTAAGCAGTAACCACACAAGGAAAAAATAAATTTGAAGAAAATATCTTCATGTACTGGTTGAAATTTGAAAATTGAAATCACAAGCATCCTTTTATGAGTACTGGTTTTCAAAGACTTTTACTTTAATTAGAGAAAATATTGTTAGTCGGCCTGATTACGAGTCTTGTCGATCATGTAAACAAGCATTGTTACATTGTCTATACTTCTACTAACACTTAAAGGGACACAATTTTGACACTCATGTATGAAAGTGTTGATAACATCAATATATAGACGATGTGCCGATATTAAATAAACAAACTACGCGGTCAAGCAACATGAACCAAGATTCTCTTATTATGCACAACGTCTTCCACACAAAAAAGTTGAAAGTACTTGGTTGATATTTGAAAAGATTTTTATTCACTTGGCATGGTAGTAGACATATTAGCTGCTGTCACTCACTCACATCACATGGTGCTATCCTATATGCAAATCCATCTTTTTTTATTTTCTTGGCAATATTCGAATTATGTAATTTAATAGAGTACAAATGGAAATGTTGTTTCTTTCTGACCGAAAAATCACGAATTCAAGTTGCAGAAACAACTTCTTTGCAAAGTAAGTAAAGCTTCGTTCCATAAACGCTTCTCTCCCAACTCTCACAAAATAAAGAGCTTTTTTGACTTGAGATCACCTTTTTTTAGCAGAGTAGAAACAAGAACAAAGACATTGGGAAAAAGAAAAAGAAATTGGATTTAAGTTGTGCGGGGACTGCAAGTCTGCAACGTAACATATTAACATGCACATATTGAAACATACAATTTCACTGTCAAGTATGGTCCTCTGCAGATCTTGAAATTTGCATGCATATATCGAAAGGATCTAACATGCTGCTGCAAAAACTTTATCATATCCTTATTGAAAATAACCATTTTCTGGACCAGATTTCTTTTCAGGGGTCAGATTTCTTGGCCACCTCCACCACATAAATTATTTTGTAAAGATAATAAAATATAATTTTACCCAAGTGGGAACAATTTTCCCTAGCCATCGATTTTTTTACCATTGGGGTAGTGGAATATTTTCTGCGCGGCCTTAGGGTTTTCAGAAATGGAGGACCACGATGGGGGGGGACCATGATCTTCTTCTTCTTCTTCTTCCCCACAATCATGTGCTAGTCGGGTTTGCCCCAGACAAATGCATGCAGAATGTGCCACCATGCCCAGATGTTTTGTTCTTTCTTTCTTCCTTCTCTTGGAACCATCAACCGTCACTATTTCTGCAACTGGGCCATGTTTGGATCATCACAAATGGAACTGTCACCCACCAGCCTATTGTAGCCATGTTATGGTCCTTTTCCTTGTTTATCAATTTGCCACACTCAGATGAACTATTTACTCCTACAAAAAAATTAGATAGTATTGTGATTGTGACTAGATTATGGGCCCATAGGCTAAGTATTTAGGTTTATAATATACTGTTCTAAGTTACTCTAATTTACAAAGTGAATGATTCGAACTTGAGCGCATTAACCAGCTGACCTAACCACTTAATATTTTTATTTTACAATACGATATTTTAAGTTATTCTAATTTACGATGTGGGTGATTTAAACTTCAATGAAGAGGATAAAATACTTCCTTAACCTAGGGGCGAATCTTATTAAGGGCCGAAGGGGTGCACGTGGCCCCCTCAAGTTTTGGCCTAAAAAATGTGGTCTGAGGAATAATCATGGCCCTCTTAAATCGCAGCTATCTTTCGTCGTTCAATACGACGTCGAATCAAAGCACAGTGAATAATAATCAACTCATCATAATCACCAACTCTATCACTTGTTCCTCATCCAAAACCACCAGGAGGTAGATATAACACAAAAATATTTAGTTGTAGAGTTGATTCTGGCAACTCAAAAAGAAGAATTATCTCTTCCTTTACATCTAATAAATTTGACCTCCCAACCCTATAGATATATAATTTATCCACTTGTTCACCATAACAATACTAAACCTAAACATACAATTAAAATGGCACAAAGTGTGAGGATGTATGCTAAGCAAAGCACACAATGGGGATGGGTTGGCCAAGTGTTTGGCAAAATATCTCACTTAAAATTGCAAAAATTAATTTGACGCTAAGTTATTCGTCATTGTTTAGTTTGTGCCCACATGAACATTATTTCTAGATTCGTTCCTGCCTTGACTAGTTGACAAAACTCGTATGCTTTTGAATTTCGTTTTCCAAATGGGAGTGATAAAGTATGGCTAAGATTTTGAACTTGTCAAAGAATGTACAACTTGGTTAGTTTCCACTCTCTCAATTTGTGGGAGCATCTTGTCATGTCTGAATCTAGTGTTCTAGTTATCCATAAACTTATCTTTTCGCAGCCGGCAACAGTAATGTGAAGTCTCTATTCAACTTATTTGATTAGCTTAATCGTGAAAATATAACAAAGCTTCATCATGCATGATGTAAATATTTATCGATCTTATGAAAGATGTGTCACTTTTTTTCTTTCTTTCTTTTGAACGACTTTATAAATTACAAGTGCTTGTTTTCTTGCATGTCAAATTCAATTGGCGCTCAAACTGAATGGAATAAGGTTCAAGAACAAAGTATTTTTCTATGACAAAAGTAAAAACTTTAATTAGGTATTAGGTTGCATGCATGTTGGTTTAACTTGACAAAAGGGGTAAGGACGAAAATAGGTCTGAAACACCAGTCAAAATCCTACATGTCCTTATGTAATCGGAGGAATTTTTTTTTTAAGTGTCTCTCCAATATATAATGACATGTAGTATTTTACGTGAAAAATCTCTCCTAAATCTGGCTTGAGCATGCAAAAATGCACGTGAAATTATGAAATATCATCCATTAATAGCTTAGCACGTAGCTTATAACTAAACCTACCACCTAGAAGGCTCAGCCCATCCCGATATATTTGGCCGATCGAGTTGGTGCCTAAGCTGCATGCCTGCATGTTCTTTAACTAGTTATCTGATGAGGTAATTATACCAGTTCCAGGCTGTTTAAATTTAATAACAAAAGATTAGGGTTTTGCTCCTTTAAGTAATTTTGTAATGAATTTTGACACAAAAACATAGGAGTCCATAACCCGAAAGTAACAATTAAGGTGAGCTGCATGTGAGGGGGGGTCCAATTTAGAACAAGCGTGCATGAAGAACTTTATCAGTTGAGAGTTGATAGAGGAAGTCCTAATCAAAAACTTATAGTGCTCCACATGATGGACTCTTTCATGTGGGATTGTTTCCTAACAAACAGTAATTGATCTGCCCAACCCAACTTCACTCTCTTCTCTTCGAGTCCTAGCAATCGCCCGTCTCATGAAACCCATAACGACACGTTATACTTTTCAGACATCATTATTTTAGGTCTTCCACGTTCTTGTTTTATATGAGTCTCACTTTCGAACTGTGATGTCAGATGTCTTCATATTCATTGGTTGATCCTTAAAACTGAAATGTAGGTCGTAATAAGTGGGTTTTCTTTTGTTTAGGGGTTCCAAAGCTCATCACCGTGTCCCTGAGGCACGTCTTCAAACTCTGTACTACGTTTTAGTAGGTGACCTTGCGTGTTGTCGTTCAATGGATTTTTACTTTTTTTGTTAAGGAAAACTAATGAAAAGGGTTTGAAAACTTTGAGTTTTAACGATAAGGACAAAATAAAGGATAAAATGAATAGTAACATGTTTGACTTTTTAGTGTAAAAATATGATTTTTCGTTAAAGTGAACAGTACCGTGGGCTTTTCGTTAAAACTCTCATTTTATTATCGTCTTTTTTCTTTTTTCATTTGGTGCAGAGCTGGATTCAATTAGTAGTGAAATATGGTTTTCTTTTTCTCTCTCATATATCAAACTCATGCACCATAGTTGTAACATAAAAAGTTCCATTCGGACAGTCACACCCATGTCACTCTCAGTCATATTTATCCTTTCCTAAAATTCTTTTCTCAATGTCTCAATTTTAATGGTTATCTTGATACATGGAGAATCCTATTCTAGCAAGGATCTGGATGTTTTTTTTTTTTTTCCAACAAATATGTATATCAACGTTAACTTTTAATATGCTTTTTTCTTAAATACGATAAAAATCTAACATGTTTTTTTTCTTACCATTTTGTTTTGTCATGTTTAGACAACCTAATTATTCAAATTGAAAACTCTATAATCGTTATATGCATGATATGTGCCGAATGAATGAAGAGTTGAATATGCAACTCCATATTAGAAAATCTCGTACTTTAGTTAGCCTTTTTTCCTTTTTACTTTCCATTCCAAGTGAGGCCTTCCACGCGTGATGCTATGACAGATATTGTATCCATGTGCCCTCCTAATTTTCTTATTCAGTATTTCAAAGCGTAGGACCATTTTGCCAGCTAATGGTGGTGGTGATAGAGTCCCTCCTAATTTAGCAGCCATTACTGTGAGGTAGGGAACCTCAGGGTTAATCTATATCCATCATAAAATGGGCTTAATCCATTGCAAGACATTGACCAATTAGAAAGAAATTCAAGAATGGTAAAACTCCAAGCTTTTTTCTTTTATTTAAAAAGAAATTCTTATTAATTGCATGTGGACTTCTCCACACCTAGACAGAAAACTTGTTTCAAACGTTTCAAAAATATGAAATTCAAACCTCCAAGCAATTTTTTTTAATTGATAGTTAAAGTAATGGTTGAAT